CATATTGAATGGTAGAGATGACTGAGACCAGAAAAATAAGGTCTTTCGGCCAAGAATTTGCTCAACAGCTCCAGAGTTTGTGGTAATTGTTTCGAGTGATCCGCTTTAAGTGTCTCGAAGTTGGGATTATAGCAGATCGTAGTGAAGACCCGGTTATTATCCTTCAACTTCTGTTTAACTCAACTGATTCTGTTGTCTGTGATTCAACTGAACTTAATTCTGTGATTCTGTACTGACTGTGAAGTGTTACATAAATAACGATTGCCTAATATTTAATGATTTCTCGTGCAGTACAGAGTGTATAGTATAGAGTCTATACTTTTACTTTTATATTGATTTACTGACAGATAATTTGCAATCTTATATAATGTGCTAATTATAGCATACAATCGATATATAATATATGATCTTAAAAGTTGTTGCCTTGTAAAAGACTGCATTTAACTACATGTGCGGTGTATGCTATCATCTAGTAAATAAGTATCACAACATTGGACATTGGATGCTATTTATAAGTCATTTAAGTTTTTACTACTTTTTATGAATAGGAATACAATGCAGTTATTATCACTTTTATGTGGAGTAATAAAAGATAAGTAAATACATTAGTGATAACCAAATGAAATGCTTTTTAAAAACACCTTTTTATACATGTAGAACAACCAAGGTAGTAAATAATATAAAGAATATTCTGTAATTTATACAAAACTTTGTATACGGAATAACATACTAATCAATCATAATAATTAATCTATTTTATTTTAATTAGATACATTTTTGAAAAATATTAAAAATGGTACTAGTATAACTGATTTAGATATCATATTACTGTTAATCAACCTTGGTTAAATACAATAATATTTTCATCAAAAACCTTTACAACAAACACTGAAATCTTCACTAATGAATGGATTAGATATGAATTTTATGCGGAATGAATTGCATTTTGTTATTAACTATTTCATCAAAATATAGTAAATTCCGACAATTCGTATGAAATGCTGTTTACTTAATATTTTCTTAAATACAATCACTTCTTGTTGTCTAATATAATATAAAAGTCACGAAAATTGAAACACAATTTTAATATAAATATTTTTGTTATTCACTTTCATTTAACATAAAACTTTGTTTTTCAACTCATTTTATACTTTAATTTAAATATAATATTAAATAAAATAATGAAATCTCCGATCAAAGTGTTGATTACCGGTGCCACCGGCTGTTTGGCCTACAGTCTGATCCCAATGGTGGCTAACGGACAGGTGTACGGCAAGGATCAGCCTATTATACTGCACCTAATGGCCAGACGCGTGTCTATACTGGAAGGGGTGGTTATGGAGCTGAAGGACTGCGCCTACCCTTTGGTTCGGGACGTTGTGGTCACCAGTGATGAGGAGATAGCTTTCCGAGACGTCGACTTTGTCTTTATGTTGGCCTCAATGCCCAGACGGGAAGGGATGCAACGGAAAGACTTATTGGAGGCTAACGTCAAGGTTTGACCACTTTTTTGATATAATTTTTAGAAATATTTTTTAAAGCATAGCATGCTAATTTAAAATAGTTTAAAAATGATATTAACTTATTTAAAGTATCTTGATTATTTTTAATTCTATTAGATATGTGCACAACATGGCCGAGCTTTGGCCTGTTATGCCAAACAGACAGTTAAAGTACTGGTAGGCTGTAATCCCACGAATACCTGTGCGCTGATAACTGCCAAATATGCATCATCTATGATACCGGCCCACAATATCACGGCACTGACACGTCTGGACCACAATCGCACTGTCCATCAGTTGGCTGTCAAACATGACGTGAACGTGAAAAGGGTGTCCCGGGTTGTTGTTTGGGGCAATCACTCCAACACACAGTTCCCCGACGTTAGCAACGCCTGTATTGATGGACAGCCGGTCCCTTTTGAAGGGCACGACAACATGCTTATGGATACTGTCATTAAGAGGGGGTATGCAGTACTGGCCGCACGTAATAACATATCCGCCTTATCGGCGGCTAAGGGGGCAGCCGATCACATGCGCGACTGGTGGACAGGTATGTCATAATAAGTTTAATTAATTTGTGTTTAAAATTAAACTATTGTTTTCACATGTTATAGGAACCGACGATTGGGTGTCAATGGGTGTCATATCCGATGGCAATGAATACGGTGTACCCGAGGGACTGGTATATAGTTTTCCCGTAACTATTGATAGAGAAACCAAAGAGTGGAAAGTTGTCGATAATATAGACCCGGATGAGAGGGCTGTCAAACTGATTAAGATTAGTGCCGATGAACTGGTGGCTGAGAAACAGGAGGCGCTCATTGTTTTGCAAAATCTATAGTAATAATGACTTTTAATACTAAATATGTTTAATCACTTATTATTTACGAAAGCATTTTCACTAATTTATCTAATCTTATAAATCTTTAGTAACGATACACTCAAACAAATTGAACAAAAATATGGAACCAGACAAATGTATGTGACGGATGATATGCTAAAGTTATCAAGCTAAATACTAATAAATAAATATTATTTAATTTAATATAAACGTGAATTATTAAATTGAATTATTTGGATTTTTATTAAAATAATATTTTTGGTTTATAAATATGTTATTTTTTATTACCATAACTTATGTATATCATATGCAACTAATAATCTGTGTTAGGATTTGAAATTAACAAATATTATACTATGAATTGCATGCAAACACATTACACAATACATACCAATCTACATACAAGTAATATACAGTAAAAGGTATCATAAAAATAATTGTTTGAATAATA